CACACACACACACACACACACACACACACACACACACACACACACACTCAGTCACTAAAGGCTAAATACAGATGCACATAAAATAAAAATAAATAATTTTTAAAAATAAAAAAACCAATGGGGAGTGATGTCAGGGGCAGAGGTACACTGGTGGCACCAGGCACGGGGCAGGTAGAACTACTGTAATAGATGGGAGTCCTGTGGGGATGCAGATAACACAAATCTTTTGTTTCTGTGGTACTGGGGATGGAACTCAGGCCTTTGGGCACACAAGGAAATGCCAAAACAGGAGGAAAAACAAGTGACATATCATGGCTGTCTTTTGCTATGGCATCACTATCCCTGGCATGAGTGGTGGGAAGTCTCACCATGTGTGACAGTTACACCACATACCCAACACAGTCAAGTAGGGCACCAGTTGTGACTCTGCCCCCATGTAGTGGGTCTGCAGAGACTCTGGGTGCTGTCAGGGACCCAAGGAAGCCAGCCTTTACCTGCAGTTGTTGCCTGCTGCTCTGAGAAGGGGTCGTTCTGGAAAGGGTCACCTGGAGCAAAGAGAGAAGCAGGCAGGTGAATGGAGGGAGGACAACAGCAGGCAGGCCTTCTGCCTGGCTTAGGGGAAATGAGTATCTCTGTGTACACTAACCCTGTCGCAGAAATGTCACCGTGAAAACTGGCAGCCCCAAGCAGGCAAACAGGGCAAACCAGGATGGCTACAAAAAGAACTACAGTCTCAGGCTAGAGGGATGGCTCTGAGGTTAAGAGCACTGGCTATTCTTCTAAATTTCCTGACTTTAATTCCCAGCAACCACATAGTGGCTCATAACCATCTACAGTGAGATCTGGTGCCCTCTTCTGGCATGCAGGCAAAATACTGTATAAATAATAAACAAATAAATCTTAAAAAAAAAAGAACTACAGTCTCTGAAGAACTTATTTTTCTTTCCCCACCCTGGATCCCTGCATCTCCTCCTACCCCTTGCTCAATAAGAGAACAGGAACACAGTGGCTGTCCTAGTCAAGTCATGATGACCTATGATGATGCCAAGGTTGTTTTCTCTCTTTCTTAGACCTAAGATGCCATTATCAAGCTCCACAGGCATGGTGGCACACACCTTTCATCCTAGCACTCAAGCGGCAGGAGGATCTCTATGAGTTCAAAGGCCAGCCTGACTTACATAGTGAGTTGCAGGACAGCCAGAGCTACATAGAGAGACCGTCTCAACATATACACACACACAAACCCTGGAAGTTAAGGGTCTGAAGAGGTGGCTATGACAGTTAACAACTGTCCCTAACTAACAATGTGACACTCTCTTTTGCCCTTTGGGGGAACTGTGTGCACACACACACACAAGATGGACTTGTATGCAGGCAAAACACCCATACACACACACATTTTTTTTTTTTTTTTTAAAGAAAAGAAACAACAGCCCTTTCATGGAGACATAGGCTGGCGTGTACCTTTGAAGGGGTCAGCTCCTTTAAATGGGTCGGACTTGAAGGGGTCCTCCGCTTGGAAGGGGTCTGGATGCAGCTCTTGGGAATTGTTGCTAAACAATAAGGCTTTGTTTTTGAAAGGATCTTCCTAGGATGATGAATAAAGGACAGGTGTTGAGTTACTTCTGATTTAAGCCAAGTGGCAGATTCCACACCTAACTCAGATCTGCACTTGACACACTGTGACCTGGAACAGACTGCCTGAAGAGGAGTCACTAAAGTGGAGATTTTGGCTAAAAACAACCCTGGACACTGGTCTGTTTACTAAGGTGCAATGGAAACCAGGTGTGGAACACTTGGAAATGCTGCACCACAGCTTTGAAACTTTTCAATAAATTTAAAACAAATGTAATAAAGTTTCTGAGCTGAATGAGTAAATAGATGGAATCTACCCACCTGTACGGTGGAATAATATTCAGCCTCAAAGAGGAAAGAAATTCTGGTGTAAATGGAGAAGACTTCAGATGTGCAGTTAAGTGGAAATAAGATGTTGACAGAGATAAATGCTGTGTGGTCCCATTTATACAAGGGCCCTGAAGTTGACACATTCACGGGGGCAGAAAGCAGAATGACAGGGCCAAAGCCTGGCCAAGGGCTTGGAATGACCCACACCCCCGTAATTCTATGTCAAGAAACATTTAGGCTGTTTCTGCCCAAGTAGGAAGTGGGGCTTAGGGTGATGATGGTGCAGTAGGAGCTGCTAAAGCATGCAGGACACTTTGCATTTTTATAAAAAGGTGCTTATTTCTAGAAACTGGCAAGTGTATTCAAAGCAGGGGAAAAAAAAACCAAAAAAACAAAAAAACCACCATTTACTTTTGAAGACTGCTTTTTTCATAGTGGGAATGGCCTGACGGGTAAGAGAACTACTCTACAAACAGAACACTGGGCTGAGAAATCAGGGATCTGCTCTGCTTGAGAGACACAATCTCCCACAAAGCAAGGCTGTCCAACTGGAATAGTTTTTCATTTTCCGAGGCAGCAGGGTCTCATGCTTTGTAGTCCTGACTGGCTGAACCCACTATGTAGACAAGGCTGGCCTTATGCTCATATACTACTGGCACTAAATGTATGGGCTACCATGACCTGAAAATTGTTTCTTACAGTTGCATCCATGGCTGGTCAAAGGACTATCATTTCTCCCATGACCAAGTCATTTCAAAGCTGGGGCATCTGTGAAAGCAAACAATGGTTTGGAGAAATTACACAAATAGCCCAGAGGGCTATTAATTCCAAAATTCTAATAAGGCTGCCTGCACCTGGAGAATGGTGCCTAGAGGGCATGGGTTAAGAGGAAGCTACCAATGGGAATGGGGAACATTACCCTTGTTCTGGCCGAGGCAGGAAAATTAATAGTTCCTGACCAGCCTGGCCACACAGCAATAGTCTCTCAGGAAATGAAAAAACAAAGATTAAAAAAAAATAATAAGCAGTAATCGTTAATTGGGCTGTGAGTAGGGTGAAGATGTAGGTGGGCCATCTTCTTACCTGGGACCAATTCTTCAGAGCTTCTGGGCACAGGCCTTCCTAGGGAAGCCAGGCCTGGTGCTCAGGGAGGGTAAATACAGATGCAGCTAGCGGGCATCTGCTGATGATGCCTGGGTGTTGCCAGCCCCAAGATGCACACACCCAGTGCAGCTGCTGGGGTTCAAGGATGGAGAGAAACTTGATGGAGATTCTGACCAAAAGGGGCAGGAGACAGACCTCTCTGCTATACCATGGACAAAGGAAAGACACACAGCTGTTGGGATTTAAGGACAGAGAGATGCTGGTGGAAGGTCACAACCTAAGGAAGCCCTGGGACTGGCTGAAGAACCTCCTGTACTAGCCCTGGGCAAGGAACAGACTGTGTCCTAAAAAAGAGGGATGAGGGACAGGGTTAGCCACAACAGCTGGGTCTCAGAAAGGAAGCTTACAGTTAGTTCTGTAGCATCATGCCTTTTATCGACAGAGCCAGTTACTGACAATCTATTGTTTTCTATCACTGAAGGGAAGATGATGAGTGAATGGGTTTCAATGGCACAAACCTCCCTGGGAACCACACTACCAGTCCTGCATGTGATAGAATAGTGGGGCTGACACCATGATGTCAAGAGGGATCCCACATCCCACGCAGCTGTGGCTCCCTTCCCAGAGGGGGCCATAGAATAGCTGGATGCAGCTGAGTGGCAAAGGCTCACTGAGCATGCATGCAGCTCAACACTGCAGTCAAAGCCCTGGAAGGGCTCACATTAAGACTAAAGAAAAACGATGACAGTTCTTGACAGAATTTTTCCCCACCTACAAACGTGAACACATCCAGCCACCGGCCAGAAGAATGAAGGGCATGTCACCCTCGGAGACAAATACAAAGGTAAATATAGGCCTGTGGCTGTTCAGCACAGGGGACCCATTCTGTCACCATGTGCCCACAGTAGATGAACTTATCTAAAATGTCATTGGTAGATGCCATTTTCCCAGACCACTGATTCATGTGGTTGCTTGGTGACTGAACATGGAAATAAGGGGAGAAAATACATTAGGGTGGGTGATGAACACTGTCATAGAGGCAGAAAATGTTAACTATTGACTTCTGCAGAACAAAGGATAGAACCCAGGGCCTCCGGCTGCCGAGCCACACATCCAGCTGCAGGGAACACCTTCAGAGGCAAGGCAGCAGCTAGCCTTAGGCTCCATCTGTTTTCAGAATACAGACATGGCCACAGAGGACACCCAAGAAATTGCTGTGATATCCCTGCCTTTTACAGAATGCTGAGGGCTGGTTGTGGGGTGCATGCCTTTCATCTCTGCTCTCAGAGGCAGACTGCGGCAGATGAGTCTCTGTGAGCCCAAGGCCAGCCTGGTCTTCATTGTAAGCTCCAGGCTAGCCATGGCTAATGCAAAAGCCAAACAAAACAAAATGAAAAGTGTTTTGGACGAGGGCCCACTGCTGGTGCTCCCACCAATGGTCTTGAAGTAAATATTCCTATCTTAGGTTGAGCTCACATTCTCATTCACAAATCCTTGTGGGAGCCTATAAGCCTGACTCCCACATGTTACTGGTGTTGGAGGTGACCAAGCACTAATCAAACTGGGTCATGAGTGACAAACTAAAATGGTGCACGGCTTTCTCTCTGCTGGGGCAGGGATGGGGGGGGGGGGAGGCGAGGCTGACTGGATATCGAGAAAGAGGTTTCTATCAGTCACAAGAAATAAATATGGTTTTGGACTGGGTACAAGACTCAGTAGAGAGTACTTGCTAAGATGTGTGAGGCCCTGGGCTCTGCCTAGAGCACTGTAAAAGAAAAAAGTAATTAAGGATATACAGGGAAGTGAACATGACCTTAAGAATCCTATGCCTCCTGGAAAAAGTCTCGCCATGGGAATATAACATTTAGCTCAGTGGCTAAATTCTTACTGCAAGAATCACCTGCAGTAAGTTCAAGATGTGCCACTCCGGTTGGATGGTTCTCTGTAAGCACAGCCCCTAGCTGCACCCACAGACAGCAGATGAAGAATGCTCTGCTCCACAGTCCCCAGATGGAACACCGAACAAAGACCTCGCTTCAAAGTGTTTATTAATAGAAACAGCCCCCCAAAATGTTTTTAAAACTGTATTTGTACAAGGAGATGTGGGTTCCTTCAGATACAAGTCTTGAGTTTCTAGATAATATATATGATGGTTACGCTGTACAAGTGACAGTCAACTGCGCAAGCTCCACCTGGTTAAACGATGGACAGAAATCACCAAGTACAAAAGGTGGTGGCAGAAATGACCAGCCACATGCAAACTGTCATCCTCTGCTAAGATGCAGCTCAAGATGTGAGCATGATAAAAGCACTGGGAGAGCTTGGCACACAACTTTAATCCCTACAAATGGGATTTCTGGAGTTCCAGGCCAGCCTGCACAGTGTGCACAGGGCTGCACAGTGAAAAACCCTGTCTCAAAAAAAAAAAAAAAAAA